AGCTGGGACCCCAGGCAGCTGTGGTTGTTCCTACAGCAGCTGGGACCCCAGGCAGCTGTGGTTGTCCTACAGCAGCTGGGACCCCAGGCAGCTGTGGTTGTCTTACAGCAGCTGGGACCCCAGGCAGCTGTGGTTGTCCTTCAGCAGCTGGGACCCCAGGCAGCTGTGGTTGTCCTACAGCAGGTGGGACCCCAGGCAGCTGTGGTTGTCCTACAGCAGGTGGGACCCCAGGCAGCTGTGGTTGTCTTACAGCAGCTGGGACCCCAGGCAGCTGTGGTTGTCCTTCAGCAGCTGGGACCCCAGGCAGCTGTGGTTGTCTTACAGCAGCTGGGACCCCAGGCAGCTGTGGTTGTCCTTCAGCAGCTGGGACCCCAGGCAGCTGTGGTTGTCCTACAGCAGGTGGGACCCCAGGCAGCTGTGGTTGTCCTACAGCAGGTGGGACCCCAGGCAGCTGTGGTTGTCCTACAGCAGGTGGGACCCCAGGCAGCTGTGGTTGTCCTACAGCAGCTGGGACCCCAGGCAGCTGTGGTTGTCCTACAGCAGCTGGGACCCCAGGCAGCTGTGGTTGTCCTACAGCAGCTGGGACCCCAGGCAGCTGTGGTTGTCCTACAGCAGCTGGGACCCCAGGCAGCTGTGGTTGTCCTACAGCAGCTGGGACCCCAGGCAGCTGTGGTTGTCCTGCTGCAGCTGGGACCCCAGGCAGCTGTGGTTGTCCTACAGCAGCTGGGACCCCAGGCAGCTGTGGTTGTCCTACAGCAGCTGGGACCCCAGGCAGCTGTGGTTGTCCTGCGGCAGCTGGGACCCCAGGCAGCTGTGGTTGTCCTACAGCAGCTGGGACCCCAGGCAGCTGTGGTTGTCCTACGGCAGCTGGGACCCCAGGCAGCTGTGGTTGTCCTACGGCAGCTGGGACCCCAGGCAGCTGTAGTTGTCCTACGGCAGCTGCGACCCCAGGCAGCTGTGGTTGTCCTACAGAAGCTGGGACCCCAGGCAGCTGGGACCCCAGGCAGCTGTGGTTGTCCTACGGCAGCTGTGGTTGTCCTACAGCAGCTGGGACCCCAGGCAGCTGTGGTTGTCCTACGGCAGCTGGGACCCCAGGCAGCTGTGGTTGTCCTACGGCAGCTGGGACCCCAGGCAGCTGTGGTTGTCCTACGGCAGCTGGGACCCCAGGCAGCTGGGACCCCAGGCAGCTGTAGTTGTCCTACGGCAGCTGGGACCCCAGGCAGCTGTGGTTGTCCTACGGCAGCTGGGACCCCAGGCAGCTGCGACCCCAGGCAGCTGCGACCCCAGGCAGCTGCGACCCCATGCAGCTGTGGTTGTCCTACGGCAGCTGGGACCCCAGGCAGCTGTGGTGTCCTTCAGCAGCTGGGACCCCAGGCAGCTGTGGTGTCCTTCAGCAGCTGGGACCCCAGGCAGCTGTGGTTGTCCTTCAGCAGCTGGGACCCCAGGCAGCTGTAGTTGTCCTACAGCAGCTGCGACTCCAGGCAGCTGTGGTTGTCCTACGGCAGCTGCGACCCCAGGCAGCTGTGGTTGTCCTACAGAAGCTGGGACCCCAGGCAGCTGTGGTTGTCCTACAGAAGCTGGGACCCCAGGCAGCTGCGACCCCAGGCAGCTGTGGGATATTCCATCTCGAAGTCACAGTCAACAGCCAGAGGCGTCAACGCTGGCGGCGGAAAACTTGTTATGTATCTTGTCAATAACGAACACAATGAAGAGTGAGGAAGCAGTTTAAACATTTCTCAATAGGTTCCTCTTCGTTTCTTTTTTAATCTACGTTTTTTCTTTGTGTGTGTATGATGTTATCTCTTCTTCGGGGACGTCTTGGCCATGTTGGGGTTTGCGCATGTTTGGAGTCCGGGTGCGAGGCGGGGAATGCGCCTACACAACCATGACGCTACACATTATACTTGTAAATAGCGAAATAATAAAAGAACGAGTCAGCAGATGTACCTTGGAGAAGGTCTTATCATAAACACCGATAACACATTACAATATTACATACGTTGATCACACAATGTAATCTTCTGATGAAGATTATAAAACATTACAGTTTTCCAATACGTGAAAATATTATTATAAAAATATATAGTTAAAATGTATATTGGATGAATATGAGGCAAAACTACAAAATATAATATTTACATCCACACTTTTGTTGAAATAAACATTCATCTGGGTTCTTGGAGATGCGAACTGTCCTTATTAAGGCTACTCAAGAGCTCGGTCGACAAGAGCTTCGGCCTCTCCCATGTGGGGTTCAGGGTTCGAGTCTCCTAGAGCCCAGGTGAATGGAATACAAAAAAATTAACTTTTCAAATAACATAAAGTTCTGGATTAATGGTGAATCTGCAAATGCAGTATAAATAGTTGTACATGGGATTAATTGACATTTATACAAAACGTTGAGAATTGAAGGTTGTGAGCAAGTAACGCATTCGTTGCCACGAGTTCAAGTAACGTTTATTGAGACAATAAAAATACATCTCAAATGGATAGAGTAGCCTAGGCTATTTTTATCCTCCCGTTGCCAGAGTGTGGAGGATCCAGCCACAATAATGGCAAGCACTGTACCGGAGGTACCGGAGGTGCAGCTGCCCCTGGGACCAGGAGGGAGGTGCAGTTCTCGCTGGGTTTTCCCTCTATCTGGACGTCTTCCAGCCGGTCTAAACTGACAATAGTCGCCATCTTGCGCGTGACGTCATAGGTCTGCGTAATGCTGATGGCGGGAAAAATGATGCAGGATTCTTGAAGTATATGTGTGTAAGTAATTATCAAAAGAAGGCGCCAAGCCTGGAAGACTATTTAGCACTGTTTTTGTCGCGGGATATGCCAAAAAGTTATAAATATAACTCAGAATGCCGGTATTGATTTGATTTTGTTCATTTATTGTTGCCCCTCATATCGTGTGTGGGGGTAGTGAACCCCATACCCATCCTGTGGGTGGTAGTGAACCCCATACCCATCCTGTGGGTGGTAGTGACTCCTCATACCCATCCTGTGGGTGGTAGTGACTCCTCATACCCATCCTGTGGGTGGTAGTGACTCATCATACCCATCCTGTGGGTGGTAGTGACTCCTCATACCCATCCTGTGGGTGGTAGTGACTCCTCATACCCATCCTGTGGGTGGTAGTGACTCCTCATACCCATCCTGTGGGTGGTAGTGACTCCTCATACCCATCCTGTGGGTGGTAGTGACTCCTCATACCCATCCTGTGGGTGGTAGTGACTCCTCATACCCATCCTGTGGGTGGTAGTGACTCATCATACCCATCCTGCGGGTGGTAGTGACTCATACCCATCCTGTGGGTGGCAGTGACTCATACCCATCCTGTGGGTGGCAGTGACTCATACCCATCCTGTGGGTGGCAGTGACTCATACCCATCCTGTGGGTGGCAGTGACTCATACCCATCCTGTGTGTGGCAGTGACTCATACCCATCCTGTGGGTGGCAGTGACTCATACCCATCCTGTGGGTGGCAGTGACTCATACCCATCCTGTGGGTGGCAGTGACTCATACCCATCCTGTGGGTGGCAGTGACTCATACCCATCCTGTGTGTGGCAGTGACTCATACCCATCCTGTGGGTGGCAGTGACTCATACCCATCCTGTGGGTGGCAGTGACTCATACCCATCCTGTGGGTGGCAGTGACTCATACCCATCCTGTGGGTGGCAGTGACTCATACCCATCCTGTGGGTGGCATTGACTCATACCCATCCTGTGGGTGACAGTGACTCATACCCATCCTGCGGGTGGCAGTGACTCATACCCATCCTGTGGGTGGCAGTGACTCATACCCATCCTGTGGGTGGCAGTGACTCATACCCATCCTGCGGGTGGCAGTGACTCATACCCATCCTGCGGGTGGCAGTGACTCATACCCATCCTGCGGGTGGCAGTGACTCATACTCATCCTGCGGGTGGCAGTGACTCATACCCATCCTGTGGGTGGTAGCAGGTCCGTACCCAATCTGCATACATTGAGCTACGAGAGGGAGACTTGTAGATGAGTGGCGCTGCCCAATAAACTCGCCCTTCGGGGCAAAATTTAAAAAAACCTGTTATCCTGCATACACTGAGAGCAATGTCGCTCTCAGTGTATGTAGGATAAGGAACCATATATCAGGAACTGGACAAGTCCTAGTACTGATCCTGTGGGACTCCGCTGGTGGTATCTCGCCACTTACTGTGGCTCCTTCTTTCTGTTGCTTATGTACTGGACCACATTTCCTCTCACTCCATGCTGAACTCTGTAAATATTATCTGAATATTTGAACACTTTAGGAAATACTGACGTGTATCCAAGAGTGACTGTGTGCATCAGTTGTCATACATATAATGTTCAATAAGTCGCCGAACTATACGTGTAACAGATTTCTAATTCTGTCCATGGAGGATAGAAGAAAATGTATATATATATATACATTTTGGTGATTTGTATGGAGTCCATGTGCCTTTTTTCACCAACTTCGAGGTCAACCCCGGAACACACAGTTCCTGCGACGGCGCTGGAACCAATTGTATTGGCGTTTGCCTTTCCATTGGAGACTTTTGGCACCGTGGAGAGGGGGGACCTGCTTCCTGGGTAACAGCTTCTCCTCCGTACCATCGTACCCTGGCTATGCGCCCTGGAGAGGCCGCTCCAGACCAGCAACCAGGGCGCAACACCATAGTCTCCCGAGACTGATGGATGCCTACTGTAATGAAAAATGTGACAGTGTCAGACCACGAAGGAAGAATTGAAGCACGAATTTCCTTAAGTACTTTCGTATTTAATAATACATCTTCAGAAGGGTCAACCTTTCAGAAAATGTATTATTAAATACGAAAGTACTTAAGGAAATTCCTGTTTCAATATTTATACACACATACATATTATATATATATATATATATATATATATATATATATATATATATATATATATATATATATATATATATATATATATATATATATATGTGTGTGTGTGTGTGTGTGTGTGTGTGATCTGGCTTCAATGATTCCATGCTGGTGCCGAGAGACTAAGCAATATTCTTGTGTGTTCCTGGGTTACAGGGACCCGCCTGGGTTACAGGAACCCGCCTGGGTTACAGGAACCCACCTGGGTTACAGGGACCCGCCTGGGTTACAGGGACCCGCCTGGGTTACAGGGACCCGCCTGGGTTACAGGAACCCACCTGGGTTACAGGAACCCGCCTGGGTTACAGGAACCCGCCTGGGTTACAGGAACCCGCCTGGGTTACAGGAACCCGCCTGGGTTACAGGAACCCGCCTGGGTTACAGGAACCCGCCTGGGTTACAGGAACCCGCCTGGGTTACAGGAACCCACCTGGGTTACAGGAACCCGCCTGGGTTACAGGAACCCACCTGGGTTACAGGAACCCACCTGGGTTACAGGAACCCACCTGGGTTACAGGAACCCACCTGGGTTACAGGAACCCACCTGGGTTACAGGAACCCACCTGGGTTACAGGAACCCACCTGGGTTACAGGAACCCACCTGGGTTACAGGAACCCACCTGGGTTACAGGAACCCACCTGGGTTACAGGAACCCGCCTGGGTTACAGGAACCCGCCTGGGTTACAGGAACCCACCTGGGTTACAGGAACCCGCCTGGGTTACAGGAACCCACCTGGGTTACAGGAACCCGCCTGGGTTACAGGAACCCGCCTGGGTTACAGGAACCCGCCTGGGTTACAGGAACCCGCCTGGGTTACAGGAACCCGCCTGGGTTACAGGAACCCGCCTGGGTTACAGGAACCCGCCTGGGTTACAGGGACCCGCCTGGGTTACAGGGACCCGCCTGGGTTACAGGGACCCACCTGGGTTACAGGAACCCACCTGGGTTACAGGAACCCACCTGGGTTACAGGGACCCGCCTGGGTTACAGGGACCCGCCTGGGTTACAGGGACCCGCCTGGGTTACAGGAACCCACCTGGGTTACAGGAACCCACCTGGGTTACAGGGACCCGCCTGGGTTACAGGGACCCGCCTGGGTTACAGGAACCCACCTGGGTTACAGGGACCCACCTGGGTTACAGGGACCCGCCTGGGTTACAGGAACCCACCTGGGTTACAGGGACCCACCTGGGTTACAGGGACCCACCTGGGTTACAGGGACCCGCCTGGGTTACAGGAACCCGCCTGGGTTACAGGAACCCGCCTGGGTTACAGGAACCCGCCTGGGTTACAGGGACCCACCTGGGTTACAGGGACCCGCCTGGGTTACAGGAACCCGCCTGGGTTACAGGAACCCACCTGGGTTACAGGGACCCGCCTGGGTTACAGGGACCCGCCTGGGTTACAGGAACCCGCCTGGGTTACAGGAACCCGCCTGGGTTACAGGGACCCGCCTGGGTTACAGGAACCCACCTGGGTTACAGGAACCCGCCTGGGTTACAGGGACCCGCCTGGGTTACAGGAACCCACCTGGGTTACAGGGACCCACCTGGGTTACAGGGACCCGCCTGGGTTACAGGAACCCGCCTGGGTTACAGGAACCCGCCTGGGTTACAGGAACCCGCCTGGGTTACAGGAACCCGCCTGGGTTACAGGAACCCGCCTGGGTTACAGGAACCCGCCTGGGTTACAGGAACCCGCCTGGGTTACAGGAACCCGCCTGGGTTACAGGAACCCACCTGGGTTACAGGAACCCGCCTGGGTTACAGGAACCCACCTGGGTTACAGGAACCCGCCTGGGTTACAGGAACCAACCTGGGTTACAGGAACCCACCTGGGTTACAGGAACCCACCTGGGTTACAGGAACCCGCCTGGGTTACAGGAACCCACCTGGGTTACAGGAACCCGCCTGGGTTACAGGAACCCACCTGGGTTACAGGAACCCGCCTGGGTTACAGGAACCCACCTGGGTTACAGGAACCCACCTGGGTTACAGGAACCCACCTGGGTTACAGGAACCAACCTGGGTTACAGGAACCCACCTGGGTTACAGGAACCCGCCTGGGTTACAGGAACCAACCTGGGTTACAGGAACCCACCTGGGTTACAGGAACCCACCTGGGTTACAGGAACCCACCTGGGTTACAGGAACCCGCCTGGGTTACAGGAACCCACCTGGGTTACAGGAACCCACCTGGGTTACAGGAACCCGCCTGGGTTACAGGAACCCACCTGGGTTACAGGAACCCACCTGGGTTACAGGAACCCGCCTGGGTTACAGGAACCCACCTGGGTTACAGGAACCCGCCTGGGTTACAGGAACCCACCTGGGTTACAGGAACCCACCTGGGTTACAGGAACCCGCCTGGGTTACAGGAACCCACCTGGGTTACAGGAACCCACCTGGGTTACAGGAACCCGCCTGGGTTACAGGAACCCACCTGGGTTACAGGAACCCGCCTGGGTTACAGGAACCCACCTGGGTTACAGGAACCCGCCTGGGTTACAGGAACCCACCTGGGTTACAGGAACCCACCTGGGTTACAGGAACCCGCCTGGGTTACAGGAACCCACCTGGGTTACAGGAACCCGGGTTACAGGAACCCGCCTGGGTTACAGGAACCCACCTGGGTTACAGGAACCCACCTGGGTTACAGGAACCCGCCTGGGTTACAGGAACCCGCCTGGGTTACAGGAACCCACATGGGTTACATCACAAGACGGTAGAACATAACGCAGGCCCTTGTCACCGACACTTGCCTGTGGCCTCCACCCCGTCAAGGACCGGATGTACAACCGCTTCAAGGCTTTTGTTTCCTGCAGCGTTATGTTTAGCGAACTACGAAGGCTTTAACTAAGCTATAGTGATGCAGCAATGGTGAGCGACCGGACCTTCACCACCCTTAACCAGGTCTTGTCATGTTGTAATTAAATAATTTGTAGAGCATCACCAGGGGAAGTTATATCAAACTGATAGACATAAAGGAACACGGAATATACAAGTCTTCAGGCCCGCCAGACACCAGGAGGGTCTCCAGGCCCGCCAGACACCAGGAGGGTCTCCAGGCCCGCCAGACACCAGGAGGGTCTCCAGGCTCGCCAGACACCAGGAGGGTCTCCAGGCTCGCCAGGCCCGCCAGACACCAGGAGGGTCTCCAGGCTCGCCAGGCCCGCCAGACACCAGGAGGGTCTCCAGGCCCACCAGACACCAGGAGGGTCTCCAGGCCCGCCAGACACCAGGAGGGTCTCCAGGCCCGCCAGACACCAGGAGGGTCTCCAGGCTCGCCAGACACCAGGAGGGTCTCCAGGCTCGCCAGACACGAGGAGGGTCTCCAGGCCCGCCAGACACCAGGAGGGTCTCCAGGCCCACCAGACACCAGGAGGGTCTCCAGGCCCGCCAGACACCAGGAGGGTCTCCAGGCCCGCCAGACACCAGGAGGGTCTCCAGGCCCGCCCGCCAAACACTTGACCACAAAGGCCAGAAACTCACACTTCACTCATTTGTATTCTTGTTCATGTTACTTATCCTTCCCCCCCCCCCTCCCACCACCAGGCACAACATGGTACCGGCTAGGAAGGGCTTTCCCTACATTACCATACCTCCCTGAGATTTAACAAGACTCTAAGAGCCAAAATATTATTTATCTACAATTGAGAGGCACATTCAAAATGTAACTAAAAAAGTTTCTAAAACTGTTAGCACTCTTTCCAAGATCAGATATTATGTACCTCGCCCGGCCTGCCCTGGTGACGCTCTATTACTCTCTCATCTATCCTTATCTCAACTATGGTATCTGTGCTTGGGGTTCTACTACACAAAATCATCTACGTCCTCTAATTACTCAACACAAGTCAATTATTAGAACAATAACAAACAGTAGCGCCCAGACAGCACTCGGCCTCCTTATTTAAATCTTTTTAATATGTTAGATATTAAGTCACTGCACATCCTCTTAAGTGTACTGTATATATATATTTAAAACCCTGAACTGTAATGTTAATCCTGACCTTAAACGCTTCCTAGAAGTTTCTAACAGAACCCATGGGCACCACACCAGAAACATCTAGTTTGATAGTCCAAGAGTGCGACTTAACCAAACTAGAAATGCTCTACAAATCAAGGGACCCAAAATGTAGAATAACCTTCCCAGTCAAGTCAAAGACTGTACCTCTCTCAACCAGTTTAAGAGGAACCTAAGTACTACCTAATAAACTCCATGTAACCTACCTTACCCCTAAATGTCAACCCATATCTTGCTATTTTCAAACAATATTGATTATTGACCAACTTGTATAACTGCTGATATCCGCCATGTATCAACTTGAAGAAAATTGTAGACTTCTGATTATTTAGTTAAAACTACTTCTGCTGTTATGTTGCAATGTCTGCTGTTCCATCCATCATGTAAATACTGTCATTATTTTTCCTCCGTTTCAGTTTAAATCATGCATTTGATCTTAGTTTTAAGTCTCAGTTTTTACGATTTTCCCCACATCTTGCCAGAGACGCTGAGCGTATTAGTGGCTTTAGGCATTATATGTACCAGCTCTATCTAGACATCCAACATTATGTTTGTAACTCCTTATGTATCTAAGTACGTTTACTTGAATAAACATAATAATAATAAAAATTATTATTATTACAAAGTCTTAGTCACTCTTTTGCCGGCGTCAGTACAATCTTTTACACCTTGACCATTATAGCACAGTTGGCTTCGTTCTCGACTCGTTATCAGGTATCTCGAGCAGACGAGGAGTCACAATAACGTGGTTGAAATATGTTGAACATACCACACACTAGAAAGTGAAGGGACGACGACGTTTCGGTCCGTCCTGGACCATTCTCAAGTCGATTGTGTGATCGACTTGAGACACACAATCGACTTGAGAATGATCCAGGACGGACCGAAACGTCGTCGTCCCTTCACTTTCTAGTGTGTGGTTTGTTCATCAGGTGTCTCGAGTTGTATTCCAGGGTGGGACAGAAATGGGTGGGCACGTTTACTTTATCCCAATGCCTCTGTTCACCCAGTACTCACCCAGTACTCACACAATACTCACACAATACTCACACAATACTCACACAATATTCTCGTAAAATGAGAGCTTTAATTCCCTTGATATTTCTTCGTAGCTTAACCCTCTCAGCTCTGACATCAGGGGTCTTGTTGCAAATCTTTTAACCTTTTGCTTTTAGCTTTACAAGGTGCGAATTCGAGCTGTTATCTTCTACTAGTACCGGCCGCAGGACGGGTATGGGGCGCATGATCAAGGCACTAAGCTGCTCTAGCGTACACTCTCTACATTGGCCTGAAAAATGTCCTTATTTAGAGTATTTACATATAGTTATAATGGTTGCCAGCTTACCTTATATAACATGCTGGTGGTGGTGCCAGGTTTGTGGGCGCTCTGGTGTCTATTGGAATTATATCCACTCCCTATATTTTGTGTATCTTTTTTCAGAGTCCTGTAGTTGCCTTCCCCTTATAGTGTAGATATCTTATGTCTCCTTTCTCCCTTTTTCCATCTTCATTACATTTGTTGAGATTCAATTCTAACAACCATTTCTTTACTCACTTCTGAAGCTAATGTCTTCTTGTAATCGTCCTGTGTCTAAACTCCTTACTGACTGGTCATCGTCAGCGAGCACGGACATACAAGAGTATATACTCTTGTATAGACTCTATATATGCAAGAGTATATACGGCCTCCCTGGTCTGGGTCATTCACATAACATAGCAAGAGTAGTGGTCCTGGGACCGAGGCTCGGGAGACCCAACATGGCACATCCCTCGTCATCACCTCACCTTATTTCCTTCAGGAGGAACTGTATCGCATTCTCTTTGAAAATCTAGGAAAATGCAGTCTACCCTCGAGAGGGTTTTTATTATTATTTTCTACCACAGACGTGGCCACACATTAACAATGCTAACCAGCATATATACATTGTCTTGTGTGTGAGAGGTGTAAGGGCGGAGGCGGGTAAGGCGAGGGACAAGAGGAAAAGATGGAATATTGCTGGACATGGGGGAGACGGGGCCGGTAGTGATGGGGGGCCGGGATACACCTGACATGTTGCAATATGCAACTGACGAGTTGCTACACAGTGAGTGACATAACCTGTGCAGTAATATTAACCCTGGAGACGGTGCAGGTGGCACACTGTTGCATCACCCACACCACTGGCCGCCACAACACACACACACACAATACCGTTTACAAACGATGGATATTTTCATTATTAGAAAGATATAATAATAGTATTGAGTGGGTGGGAGAGCGTTGGGTGAAGGCTGGCAACTGCGCCAGTGTGTGTGAAGGTCAGCGGGTATATAAGCGCGTCCACCGCTGGCTGGGAGTCACTCCACCTCCTTCACTCCCAACAGCAAAATGTGAGTAATCTTCTCCCTCAAGTTCTCCCGCACACCCTTACATGTCTCCAGGTTTTGGTCAACAGTCCACCGGTAACTCTGGCGACCTAAGGGAATAATACTCGCTACGAAATACACTTTTACATTTAATCTGGGCATGTGCTTGGTGCATTACTGCAGCAGCTGCGTGTGGGGTACTTACTTAGTCAAGTCACTCTTGCCTGTTGAGGTCATCGCCCCAGAGCTGGAGCACGAGACTCAATTATGCACCACACTCGGGAAGGGTTTAATTCATTGTTATGCCTCCCCCCCCCCTTCCCCATACCCATGGTGTTTACAATGTCCCCATACAGGGTAAAGCACAATGTTACGGCCCCCTAGCCATAAGCCCCATACGCATAAGGTTTTAAACTCATGGAACAACCTACGCGCCGAAGCCAAAAATGTCAAGACATTAGTGCAGTTCAAAATCCAGTTGGAAAAATTTATCAGAAAAATATGGTAGGAGGGGCGAGGAAGAATGACAAACCGCCGGAGTCCTGTCCCCGTCGTGGCCGCTAGATATAGTGGCCCTTGGGTAAATACTGCAAAGTACAATATTACGGCCTTACTTATACCATACCATACAAGTAAATACCATACTTATGGTATTTACAATATTATGCCCCCCCCCATACCCATACCCATAGTGTAAATCCAGTATCATGCCCCCCATTCTCGCAGTGTCCACTTGGGGGTGGACGGTAAAGCAACGGTCTCCCTTCCTGCAGGTCGGCGTTCAATTCCCGACCCCTCAAAGTGGTTGGGCACCATTCCTTCCCCTCGTTCCATCCCATATACTTACCCTGACCCCTTACAAGTGCTATACAGTCGTGATGGTTTAACGGTTGCCCTTGACAGTTCCCTTCCCGCAGTGTCCACCACTAACCATTATTGTACCACACTTGTTATTGTGTTCTTATTTAATATATAAGTGTAAGTTTGCTGACTAATGTGTTGTGTTGTTCAGGAACAGTGTGGTGCGCGTGTCGGTGTTGATGGTGGTGGTGGTGGCGGCCGCCGTGGTGGCCCAGGGCCCCAGAGGCTCCTTCCTAGCCACACTCAACAGCCAGCAGATCGCCTACTTGTCCTCCGCCGCTGGTCTTGATGCCATCTCCCTCTGCTACCAGCAGAGGAACAACCCCCAGTGCAATGACCTTGTCTTGAGGACAGTGGGTAAGTCATTGTTGTTTATGTCTTCAAGTCTTCCAGCTCCCCTGTGCTTCAAACAGTTGCTAGTGATGTGATCAGTCCAGGATAAAGTCGGCACCTGGTTCAGTCGTTACCAGCCGGGGTCTGGCACACATGCCAGCGTAAACCCTCAGTTTACAATCTAGTAATTATGTCTAGAAAAAATTTTCAGATTTTTAATGTCTTGGTATATCCCTAGTATATGACAACTGTCGCTATACTCGTGGTCTTCCTTGATCTTATGAGGTAACGCTCTTCCCTCTTGGACACTGCTACTGGCGGTTCCTAAGAATCATTTCAGACCTGATGACATGCTCAAATTGGTACTAAGATACCGTACTTAGGCCTAAAATAAGCTAGGATGAAATCAAACATTTTTGGGGAGGATAGCATTTTTGCCCGTTCGACCAATAGTTGATGTACGCTCTATATTTTTTTAGAGGGTGGGTTGTGTTTCCCCCTCAATCCTGTCGGAGTTGGTATACTACACATTTGTAATGTGGTGGGCAGTTTGTAGTGGTGGTGGTCCAGACCTGTCCTGCCACACTACCTGGAACTTAGCCGCCTCTTCTCTCCGCGCCCTCCAAGGCCTCTCCGCGGCAGATTTGATTTCGTTATCAATTCCAGCTTAGGCTTTATGTTCGGTGTACTGGAGGCCTTTTACGATGTATGATGTGTATTTTCGCCATTTACAATTTGTACACTTATGGTATTCTTTAATTTTTAAGCACTTCATAACGAGCATAAAGCTAAGTTTGTGTTTCTCCCCTACAGCCGAGCTGCCAGAACTGGTGAGGAGTAACTGCAAAATCTGCAACAGTCCGCAGCGCCAGACCTACCAGAGCATCATCTCTGAGGTCAACGCCAACCATCCAGCCAAGTTCGATGCTCTGAGGAAGCTCTTCATTGGCTAGTTTGACAGCCATCACTAGCTGGCCAGGGGTGCCAGCACCCCCAGCCAGGGGTGCCAGCACCCCCGGCCAGGGGTGTCAACACCCCCGGCCCGTGCAGACCAACAACCTCACCAACTGCTTCAACTCCCAAGATTTTCCCCTTCATCTCCAATTGATCAATCACTACTTTTTCATCTAATTATTAATTGGTCATAATTTCGTGTTAGATAATCCTGTAAGCAGCACTACAACCTCCTCGTTCGTCGTCTACCACAACACTTAGAAATATATAGTGACATTCTACCCCTCTACCTTTAATTTATCAACCTAATTTTGTCCAGATCAATCTTTTGAAGTGAATCTATCTTTAAGAAATCATTATTTGAAATGTTAATTGCCAAACACTTTAGACCAACGTAAGTCTGGTGTAGTGAGAGAGCGCCAAGGTGGTAACACACAGCGCTGCCGACCACAGGAAGACGTGTGCCGTCACAGGACTGTCACCCAGGATGTCACGGACACAACTCTACACAAGATCGATTGATGAAAACTAAACCGTCCAAAAGGTGGCACGGGCATGAATAGCCCGTAAGTGGTGGCCCTTTTGAGCCATTACCAGTATTAATAGATACTAGAGATCTGTGGAGGTGCGACTGCACCCTGCGTGACGGGAGATGTCTCCCGTGCTCTTCACAAGGTTTTTATTTCAGTTTATTTACTACGGACCCCATAACCCATCCCGTGGGCAAGGATGGGTTACAGAGGCACGCGGAGGGCGGCTCAGGACCTGTGCCTCAAAATTCATTTAGGCAAGAAAATTAATCTTGATAATTTAGTTACAATTTAGTGATTATATCAACAATGGGTTAGAAAACTACCAGAAGTACAGTTTATAAGCCAAGTGGGGTTATAAATGTGGGGAGGTGTGGCACCACACGCTCTCTCACCGCCCTTATCCAGTACGCGACGGTGGCGAGGTTACAGTCGCCCGCATTCACTATACTTACTAAACTGGAATATTTGGCCAAAATTTCTGGTAGATCATTTTAAATGAAATATTTACTTCTGTTAGTTTGTAACTTGCTTAGCTAAATGAACTGTGGAGTTCAGTCCCTGAGCCCATTATGTGCCTCTAACCCTTTCCACTACCGCCCACAAGATGGGGTGCATAATAAATGAACTAAACTAACTGTTAAGAGAGCTGTCGTACCGTAAATTCATGTAACGCACTTCTCCAGTGACGGTGACGTGAGGGGGGGGGAGGGGGGTTAATGATAATCAAGCCTAGTCTCCGAAACTTTACAGGATGATCTATAAGGTGTTCAACTTTATTATTACAAATTTATACCAAAGCATTATAAAAAAACAAGCAAATAGTGGGCAGCCTTCTCGGCACACTGACCTTTACTGACCGAGAGCCACTTTTGGGAAACTTGATCCGAGGAAATAAGTGTGCTTGCTCTAAGTACGGCTTTCTGACTTTAAACAATATGAAGGCGTTTCCCCAAGGAAGGTTTTCATCATGTGTGTGCGTGCCGTATAGGCAAGGCCAGACAACACCCACGAGTTGAATAGTATGAGCAGCGTGATGGAATCCCTAGATTTGAAGGTTCTCAAATGTTATTTTTCTGGCAAACTTTTTATTTGCTTTGTTATGCTCATTAAACTTGAAGTAGTCTAACATTATCTCCAGAAACTTTACATGTTGCTTTCCTAATATTAAAATTTGAATTTTGTACCCTGTATGTGATATAAGGTCTGTCGTCGTTTAAGATTCGGTACTTTGAACAAAAAGTTCCAAGTAGCACGGGCTATGGTGAGCCCGTAGGACTTTTAAAGTCTTCATTTTTACCATACCCAAGTACTTTGAACTCGTCACTTAAACGTCATGTTATTTTATGCTGCCCAGTCTAAAACTAATAGCAGCTTAAAGTTTGTCTTTAACAGAAGTAATATTCTTGGCAATTTTTGGTTCATTTGCCAAAGACAAAGCTGTGACTAATTTTTGTCTATATCCGGTAAAGGAAAGTCAGTGATGAAAGAACTGTGCCCCGAGGTAGAGCGCTCTTAACCGTTTTCACCATTTTATTTTGGTCGACTCATTCTTTGCGTTCTATTTATAACATTTAATATTCATCGTCCTACTTTACAAATCATTTCTACCGACCTCATTTTGTGGGCGATAACGCTATGGTCACATTTATCACCCATTCGACCTGTGAAGTATCTTAAGAGCCTGAAGTTAATGTCCATTGTTACTCTAGCTTCCCAGCCCCTGAGTCCAGGTACACTGAGCTACTGCTATTACATCTCCGTCCACGCCTCCGTCCACCCCCCTCCCCGTACACTACCTTCATGCACCAATAGTAGCCTCCCTCGGCTACTATTCCCTCCCCCCCCTCTAACTACAAAGGAGCGACAACCTCCATCGGCATAGTCCATCCATCCCTACCCCACTAGGATAGGTCGCTCTATTCGGTTCTGCATACACCCATTAACATGGAGGCCGGAACAAACAAGACATGCAACAAACTTTTATTTAAAATTCTTAAAATCAAGAAGGTAAGAGTGGTGGAGTTCGTGGCAAGGTCTGGAGGAGCGAGGTGGGGGTGGCAGGTGGACGAGGAAGGGCGCCGCCACCACTGTAACCGTCAACACCACCCAGCACAACACTCGCAGGTTACTTGGAGAAGTGACGCGCCACTGTCAGGTCAGAGCTCCTCGCCGCGGTCCCTGGTGATCGTCTCGTTGGTAGAGTCGTATCCGTTGGTGGTAGAAGAGCCTGGCTTTACAAGTGGAGGTGCAGGTACGAGATAAGAGGCCCAGTGAGTTCTTATCATGTTGGCGGCCTTCTCTGCCAAGGCTGTAACCGGGGCGTTGGTGTTGCCTGTAGGGATGGTCGGGAACACAGAGGCGTCCACCACCCGCAGCTTCGACACTCCGTACACCCTGCCAGTAACACCGTCACTATTACCGTCCCGCCACACGTGAAGGAGGGAGCATTACGTCATACCACCAGATAATGACTACAGCCACAGTCACTCCATATCCTAACGTGGCGTTTATGGGGTGGGAAGGGGGTTGTTTGAACACATCACGTCAACTTCTCCCCCCACTCAAGGTAAAAATTATTAGTCTACATGTTCTTTTCATTTCCGGATGTACTAAGTGCCATAGTTCACTTTCGTACATTAGTATTTGTTATTGTAGAGCCCCCAAGAAAAAAAGGCACCAACCTAACTTAAAGCCTAATATTAGGGACTACATTAGGGCCAAGATTAACAGTGTTCAGCGTAATGTAATACATGTGCAATACTAGGCTAAGGAGAGGTCAGGCTGTGGTGTTTTTACGTGCCCTTTAGAATGTTATTAGTACAACACACAAGTTTCACAATGAGGTGTACAACTTTCCCTGGAGGAAGGTTCAACAGATGGGCGAGGTGATCGTGGGGGGGCCCAAAGGGGAGAGAAGAACTTTCTTGTACATATAAGAGCTCTGCTTTGAGGCAAGGACTGGCTACAGGCTGGACTACTGACCTTAGCACAGGGCCGAGACTGACCTTGAAGACTGGTGCTCACCTGAGCTGGGGGTCGACGACAGCTGTGGGGTCCCAAACTGGTCCCATCTTGGCAGTGCCACAGTAGTGGTAGATGGTGTAGGTCAGATACTTCAAGTTGCAGTGCCAGTAGTCACTCCCCACCAGGCCCTCGCACCCTGGCACTGGGTGCGTGAACTGCTTCGCGCCGAACCTGTCAACATCAGCTATTCAGGAAGGAAGGTTTTTTGTTCCCATACAGTAAAACACCCACCCATAAATATTCTGTACAAGGTACATTATAAAAGATATACAGCACTGTCTAGGTGCCAGTGTGAGCCTGGGCCTTTGATCCTCCCCACCCGCCTGATCCCTATTCGGAATTACAATGTTAGTCACTAAGTCGACATATTCACAATAGCAAGTTTAACACTACCATAATACAGTTCCCTTAAAAAAAATACGGCGAGCTTTTGAAGAATTCTATACTACATTTGTTTTTTGTTTTTTTTGTTTTTTTTTTTTAACAATTTTCCACCTTTAAGATGCTGGTCTCAGGGGTCAAGCGGCACTAGTTTGAACGGGTAAAATGAAAACTGTAGCCAAGACTGTCAGCAGACTAATCTGAACAAAGCAATGGGGGCGAAGATAAAACTTTTATATAAAAGGCTTTTCAAAACAGTAAGGGGTATACCATGTGGGACAGTTTTTCAAAATTTCTCAAAAAAAAAAAAAAAAAAAAAAAGACAATCCGTGGAGGCAAGGCAAGAAGAACACGAAGGCAACATTACAAATGTCAACAGTCTTGCAAACGAACCACCCTTGCAAGAAAACGGAACTGGTCCTTACCGAGGGGCAGTGGACAAAGAACAGCACAAGTAGGAATGGAGATGTTCCAGACACCGCGCGAAGTAGCGAAGACAGTAACGATCACGACAAACTGCCAGGACCCAGGTTACAACATACAAGCTCTGGGTGGGAGGGACAAGAGAGGCACCAGAGCAGAAGCACGACCGAATATGGTGCAGAACAAGACTAGGGGTCGAGGGAGAGGAGTATGTGAGGGCAGCCATAAGAGTTCAGACATCACAAGAAAGCAGTACAGATAAAGGAAAGCGTGTATCAACTCCCCAGCAAGTGTGGGACAAGGCAAGGGACCCCAAAAGCATTCAATTCTGAAGAGAGCAACATGGGACGACTCGTGGTCATTGTTAAGCCCCCCCCCCCCCAAAAAAAAGCATTATTCCCATGCAAAAAATTACCATAGGCGACGATTACCATCGCAACGGGGACGATGAAAGACGTACCTTCCAAGCGTCACAGCACAAGTCTTGGTCGTAGTGAACTTTTAGGCATGATTGGTGGTCCAGGACAAGTTATCAATCCCGAATTTGAGGGGTCGCAACAGATATATCGTCATCATAGGACCGAAAAAAAAATGGATATGGGGAAAGTCAGACCATTTAGAGCAATCAGGATTTAGAAAAAATTAGTGCTCTGAACACTATCTTTGGGGAATAGCGTTGAAAAAGAAAAAGTATATGCTGGTACAACTTCCTCTAACTGAACGACGAGAACGGAATCGTAAAAATTGGAAGATTAAAAGGGTACCATAAAAGCTTTACACGTTTAACGTCACAGATTCGCTGTATTAACACATCACTCTGGCCTCACCAGGCTACCAAGTCTGGCTACTTACTTTTTGAAAGCGGTAGAATTGCCAACCCGAATGGCAAAGTGAATTCCCTCCTCCAGGACCCGTACGTCATCTGCGTGCGTCAGGTAGTTCAACACTATCTGCCAACACAACCATCAACACAATGTCAAAGTCTTGTTGGAAGACAATCTGGTGCCATACCAATGATGGCATCCTTTCCTTAAAGGTCCCCCCCCCCCCAAGAATTATATTATTTTAACTTAAGAGTACGACGCGGGGGACCTAGAAAATTACTTTGTTAAGAACTAAGCACCTAAGATACAAGTTTGTGAAAACTTTTAATCTTGCAATTTCAGCTTAAAGGGTTTAGAGTACACAATATATCAAACAATAGCACCCGTTTTTAGTCTTTATGCAGGATTGTCACATTAAATAAAAGTTGTGTTACTGATTTGGGGGAGAAAAAAGAAAAGCCACAGTAAGGCTAGCACCAGCCCGGACACTTTGTGCTCTACCCATAAGAACAGGAAAACTGTAGAAAGTATATTTACGGATCCAAGACTTTAGTCGCCAAAACCAATTCAAATGCATGTGTAACCTACGCCTGAAACAATCCCGTCATTATTTTATCGGGTAATGTCTTATAAATCGGCAACAGTTTCCAAGCTTTCCAATCGGCAACAGTTTCCATGCCCGAAACGCTTTGCGTAATAGTGGCTTTAGGCATTGTATGTGCTAGCCCTAACTATAAATCCATCACTCTTTGTAAAATCTCTTGTATGTATGTACCTACCTAAATAAACATTTGATTTGAAGCTAGTATTTATCCAGGTATCAGAGTCTAAACTTGTCTAGTTAGTATCCACAATGTTATACACTTCAACATTTATTAATATACTATATCCATCCCGAACCGACTGCACCACTTCATCTAAACTAGGCCTAACATTGTAACTGGTCGTAGAGGCATACCTTTGGGTGGTCGTAAGCACTGGCGGAGTTGAGAAGGATGTGGCCTCTGCTCTTTGGTCTGGAGAGAAGTGCCATGACTGTGAAGTGGTCCGTGTTGCTGAGGTGCGAGAAGTAGTTGGTCCAGTACGTCTCCTGCAGACCCATGGCCACCCTCAGGTGCGCCCCTTCGTCAGAACCGTGAGAACCCGCCAGGAACTGCAGCTCTATGTCTGGCCAGTCTATCTTCGGGTCGCTGTACTTTGTGTTTATGAAGGCGATGCCCTCCACGCCCCCCAAGGTGGTCAGGGGCCCCGTGCCCGCCAGGCTGTACCTCAGCACCGCCGGAAAGTTCTGTAGGCGGTCAGACAGCAAGGACACCGCCTCCTCCACGCTGAAGATCACGCCGCCTGCGATGTGGTCCTGGGGAAGCCAGGTAGTCTGGGCTGTAATGTCTATACAATGGTAATATCACCTATCAATTACTACCTTAATTTAGTGTTGCATATTTACCAGTGCTTGTAATTAACCTCAACTTACACTGGAAACTGATGCTCAGGCCCGGTGGCCACCATATCTAAGAGTAACGTCAATGTAACGGCGAGTCAACGTTGAATTAACGTTAGTCTTTGATATTGTGCCAGTGGGGAGCCATTACCAGTGAAGTAAGTGATCCGTGTCTGACCTGGAGATTCTGACCGACGGGGAGGTCAGCGATGACGTGAATGCCGTGTCTGGCCAGGTGCTGGGCCGGACCAATGCCGGACAGCATCAGCAGCTGTGGCGTGTTGATCGCTCCGGCAGACACCACCACCTCGCGCCTCGCCCTCACCTCGACGCCTTTCTTCTCCTGCTGGTCCACTATCACGCCGGAAGTAGAGTTATCATCTCTACTTATCAACAGCTTTACGACCAAGCTGTTGAGAGCCACGTGAAGGTTGGGACGGCGCCGGGCTGGTCGCAGGAAGGCTTTTGCGTTGGAGCAGCGGGCGCCTCGCCTGATGAAGCCGTGCGGCGTCATGAAGCCGGTCTGACGGTCGGTGTTTATGTCGCGCACCTCGTACCCGAGCTCTGAACCCGCCTCCAGGAACGCCTGTGCCAGCGGCGTCGTCCAGGGGGCTTTACCTACCGTCTGGAAGCCTCCGGTATTGTGGAATTCTGACGAAAACAACAGTCGGTAACGCGAGTTTACACGTAACCTGTCGTGTCCTACACTAAAGGACGGTTGCATTGTTTTGGCATTTTGTTTACAAGAGAGACCTGGTATATACGATATGTCACAAGTAACCGCGAGCAACAAAAACAATATGGCAACAATCATTGAAAAATTTACCACTACCCAAAGATATTTATGTTACCAAATGTAAAATGAAAGCCACTCCATAGTATATACAAGTGTTCAGATATCACAATATTCAAGAATTTCCAAATACTTATGTTTTCCATATTAGACAAGTGTGGTTTTCAGACAAATTGTCAAAATTAATACAAACTTAAATATTTAGCTAGAACAGTGATGCAGTTGAACCTACCATGACCAGTGACTTCCCGTCCACAGTATTCGTACTGCCTTCACAACACAAACTATTCTTTGTTTATTCTACCGAGGAACCAACTAGTCAAGTCCTTATTTTGCTGGTAAAGTCTCAAACCGTATTAACCGTTTTACTAGTTGAACCCACTAGTGTTTAATTTTACTACTTATAATTTTAAAACATTATACCATAATATTTTTTAAAACCAGCTTTCAGCTATATACAACACTGATCGTGCCAATGACGTCATCAAGTTAAACAATGGCCTTGACGCTCCCGACAGGAAAAATCACTTTAATATTAATTTGTATATTAAACATTAGGTAAAGTAAACAATGCAGCTCCCCCCCCCAACTGCCATGACAGGAGAGCCAGCATCTCGCCGAGAACAGTAATGGCAGATAACTTTCAATATATTTTTTTATTAAACTCCCGCTATCGGTAAAGCCCCAAAGCTTTATAATTTTGAGTGTTAGCTTAGGCTAAAGAAGGCTTATATTAATCTGTTTAAAATTGGCCAAAGATCTCCCCCCAATGTTTTAGCAAGTGGGAAAGTAGCACATTATTACCTGATGATCATAAAAAGGTACAATATGAAACTGCTTCAATATGCAATTTGAGGGAAATTAGGTACTCACTGGGATCAGCATAACTGTCAATGTTATCTTCAGAGAGTTTGAAGAACGGGAGGAGATCCTTGTAGCCCCAGCCAGTGTTGCCTTGTTGTTCCCAGTTGTCGTAGTCTCTCTTGTTGCCCCTGACGTAGAGCATGTAGTTGATGCTGCTACACCCGCCGATCACCCGACCCCGCGGCAAGTTACACCTGAACCACACAAGCTTTATCTCACTTCCAACACTTCCAAAATTCAACTTAAAAAAAAAATGAATTTTATTCAAAAGTGTACAAAGTACAAGAGTAACAAATGTGGAGGACAGGAATTACACAAACTAAAGCAAGATAAAGACAATTTGTACATGAAACATTAAAGCAGAGAAAATTCCCCCCCCCCTTCACAAATATTTTCTCGAAATTTGGAATTTGCTTTCAGTAGTCTGGCCCATTCAGAGGGTGCATAGTTCAGCTACTGAACTATTGCCTGTTCCGCATTGCCACTTTGAAAGATTTCTTGCTTCTAAGAATGTCGCGTTGCACCTCTTTAGTAGCTGGGTTTGCCATGTCTAAATGCTTAAACAGCATTGATTTTTGGGCATCGTTTGAGAGTACAGAGTGCCGAGATCTTCAACCCCTCTTGGTAAGGCGGCAATTACGAGAACGCAGACATTACTGTTAGCAGGAACAGTGCTTGTCTCAATTCCAATGCAAGGGCAGCTTTGGAACAACCCCATTAAAGAACTAGCCAAGATCTTTTCCACCTTCGGAAAAAGGAAAGTGGGGGGAGCCCTAACCCCCCCCCCAAATCTAGCTAGCTTGAAAACTATTCAAAAGGTCACCTGTACTGCATTTGTAAGTTGCAAGCCAGAAGATAATTACCCCATGTATACTAATCCTGCTATTCGCATCAAGACTTTCATACAGACAGTATTTATATACCTACCTGTGATCGTACATAGCCCAACAGGCTGTCTCTGATGGCGCTGCGCGGTACTGCCAGTCCATGTCTGATAGCTGAAGGTTAGCAGCCAGTCCAGGCACCTCTGAGAGCGGAGTCTCCTGACCCCCCGCCTCCACCACCAGGACAGTAACCTCCGGGTCCTCGCTCAGCCGGGCACCCATTACGCTCCCCGCAGTCCCGCCACCCACGACGATGAAGTCGTACTCCTGCAGGTCACGCGGGATGCCACCAAGTCAACCATTGAAAAAGAAGCCAAAAACCAAACTCCACGTCCATGGGTCCAGGTTAATGGAGACAAGTTTCTTCCATACAACCTAGAGTGCATCGTGCCAGTTTGGTATAGCCGTATACAAATTTATGAAAAATCAGATTTTCGCGTAGGAAAAAAAATTAAGAGCTAATATTTCTTAAAAGGGGTTGCAGACAGGAACACAGGGCCGACCCCACCTGACCCAAGACGCTATCCCCTTAACGACGTCGCTGGTTACTAAGCCAGGTAGAGTATTGTCGTGCGATGTAGACGGCACCGTCACAGGCAACATCAGGGTAACTTGCCACATGCATAACATAACAGCTTTTTTCTCTACCTCCGAGAAAAATTGTTACCGCGACCACCAACCTAACTACTCTGCATCCTACGTTCACTCCTGGCTACTTCCTACCACATAAAACAAGTGACAAGGCTAGCTAATTTATTCAAATTAATATTTCAGAGACCCCCAGTGCGTGAGCTATGAGAAATTTTCTAAAAGTTCAGGGACGATTATAAATGTTTCCCCATACAGAACGCTAAAGAAAATGCAGGAAAATTTTTCTTAAGAAAATGTCTAAAACGAGGGATAACTACAGAATACTTAAGGTGCTACAGATAAAAAAATAAGTTATTACACAATTCTAACATTCTTTTACAAAGCTTTTATTTACCTTTAACGGTCTTTACAAATTTTAATATATAGAACCATTATACGAAGTTCATAATGTTCCAGAAAAAGCAGAAGCCTCCTCTTCAACGCGTGTTCAGTGGGCAAGCAGGGTTAAAAAACTAAACTACTCTAGTGAAGATGAAGTAAATAGAGCTAGAGGAAATCCGAATTTATACTCACGCTTAGGAGGTCTACCCTGTTTATGGGCGGCCCTTCGTCGTACGGGAGGTACGAGGGTAGCTTGTCCAGCACCCACGCCAACATCGGGATCATCCACATTATCCTGTTAGCTTTTGGACCCATCTTCTGGCGCTACTGCCTGTTCTTTATGGGGCTGTCTTTGACGTCCTTCAACGCCCTCGTCGCCTGGAACATTGCAACGTCAATTACAACTACACAGACATGATTGCACTAAGTACACGCGCACATCTATATGGTACGAGCACAAGGTGGCGATAATGAAGTAATGACTAGCTAGTAGACATGGACAGATGGACGCCAACATTTATCCCTTATTAGTGTTTTAATACTTATTTTATTTAAGGGGAGGGGGTCCCGGTAACAGTCTGGTTCGTTCTCTACTCACAATCTAGAATTTCCGGGTTCGAATCCCTGGCGGGGACAAAAGGTTGGGTGCGTTCCCCATCATCTAATGCCCCCACCCCCCCTGTTCACCTTTAAGTAAATATGTATCCAGGAGTCTGCTTGTTGTGGGGCTGCATCCTGGGGTCAGAAATTAGATCCTTGAGGTAGACCTCTATACAAGCCTAACATGTGCCATAGGTATAAACTGGCTGCCTGTCCCCCAGACATCATCACTGGCGAGCTCTGCGACACGTTAGTGCTCAACAGTAATTAAACTAACATTATAACCTTAACATGAAAAGGTCTGGAAGACAAGTAGGTCTTTCCTTAAGGAAGAGTCCATGAACACAGTCCAAGTGTTAAGTTAAGGATCTTCCCAAGGAGGAAGACTAGTCTACCGTCAAGTAGAGAATAATGCCCTGGGACTGCACAAATACCGACCACGATAGAGGATAGTGATCCAGACCACTACCAAATTTATGTACCTCAAGGGGGCAACAGTTTAATGCTCAACAAGGATCAATGTAGAACAGAAAACTGGAACTTTGTCACCCCACACTGCTATAAACCCGTGCAACCGCCTACCCACCGAAGCCGTAATCGCCAAGACAATACAGTATTCCAATTAAAACAATTTTGAAACAAAAATAATGGTTTTAAGGGGGGGGGGAAAGAGTGGGGGAGGGAGGGGAACCTTTGACGAACCCGACGAGGCCACGAGAGGATTGGTAACGGGTAAATCCAGGTGTAGAAAACTACCAATAATTTGAAAAATGTTAAAGGGAAATAGACCACGGCGACTGCAACAGGGAAAAACAAAGAGAACAAGAGACAAGAGAGACCTTTGAGTAAACAATCCCACTAACACCAGAAGCTCACGTGAACACGATAACAGCGTATGGTAATTTCGCAGTCAGTCACTTAAGGATTTAAACAAGAAGGCTTTCAAGGCCATACATACCACATATGCGATACCATTCCTCGAATATGCAGCGTCAGCATAAAACCCACACCCCGTAAAGAATAAATAAAAACAGTGGTTAAGTTCAGAGGCTTGCACCTTTATTACAACCAGAATAGGCGCGTCTTAGCTACGAGGGAAGTTAAGACGAGACTTCCTCTCGTCCTTCGAGGAGAGAGGAAACTAAGGGGATATGATAAGTACATACAAGGTGCCGAGGGGTATTATTGAAGTGAACAAAAGAAGCCTATTTAAATTAAATTGGGCAATATAAGTAGACATCAGTGCGAGCTCAACCACTAAATATTCAAAGACGAAAGGTAGTATTAGTTGTCTTTATGAGTGGTAGACAAGTGGAATGAACCAAACGAATCGTTAAAGTTGTGGATGGAATTGGCTGCACGAAAAAGTGAGAAACGCGTTAATGTTGAAGTAGTTAGGAAGTCGGGCAAAATCTGTTAGGAGGCAGGTCATAAAGAGCAAGATCTCACTTCTCCATTGTCACCGATAGTTAAGGACACATCCACTTACAGGACGACCGGAAGTGATGGCCATCTTGACCTACGGGTGACCTGCTACCAACTCACCTATACTACAGTACGGAGACGAGTCAAGTGTGTTTACAGTGCTACTGAGACGTGTGACGCCGCCGCCAGTATGAAGAGCACTGTGGTCCAGTCCGCACCTCACCCTCCCTCCTCGACCTCCTCCTCCTCAAGGCTTCGATCATCACACTTGTTTATATCTCCCATTTGTTCATTGCTGTTAGAGATATATTTTGTGTGTGTGGCTCAGGGAGTGACACTGAGGTTACGGGTATAATGTACCCAGGGCCCGGGGCTGAGGCACAAGACAGGTGCCAAGTGGTAATGAGAGATTCGCAGCAAGAAGCTCCTCACGAACCGTTTACGTTCCTTGTCTGCGAGCAACCCATCCTCAAGCATTGCTTCCTCATAAACAATGGTCAAAAGTAATTCCATGCACCCACTAAACCCCTCCTCTTTATGAATGAAAAACTGTTTACACACGACTCACAAGTGATGACGTTCGAACACGTCTCGAACGGTATTTCGCTGACGACATTTGTTCGAACCACAACGCTGTAAGTGCTTCACCCACGTACTCAGCCCGTCCTCCAAACAAAGATCCAAAAGTGATTCCATGCACCCGCCAAACCCCCTGTTTATGAATGAAAAACGATTTACACACGACTCACAACTCATTTCGTTCGAACACTTCCGGAACAAATGCTTCACTGACGAATTTTGTTCGAACCACAACGCTATAAATGCTTCACCCACGTACTACAAATACAAATAATCGCCAACAGAACCCAACCACCTAACCTAACCTAACCTATGCCTATATATGCACAATATGCTAATATATCATAATATTAATTTATATTTGAGAAAATTCCTGTTTTGAATGAACAGCATGTAAAAATTTATGAATGCGTCTGTGGGGTCGACCGCTGGTTGTAATGGACTTGAGTCGAGGACGGGTTGCACGTACTACAAATACCAACCCGTCCTTGACTCAAGTCTATTACATCCAGCAGCCCGTCCTCCAAACAAAGATCCAAAAGTGATTCCATCCACCCACCAAACCCCCTGTTTATGAATGAAAAGCGGTTTACACACGACTCACAACTGCTGATGTTCGAACATATCCGGAACAAGTGCTTCACTGACGAATTTTGTTCGAATCAACGCTATAAATGCTTCACCCACGTACTACAAATACAAATAATCGCCAACAGAACCTAAACACCTAACCTAACCTATGCCTATATATGCACAATATGCTAATATATTATAAAATTAATTTATACTTGAGAAAATTCCCGTTTTGAATGAACAGCATGTTAAAATATATGAATGCGTCTGTGGGGTTGACCGCTGAATGTAATGGACTTGAGTCGAGGACGGGTTGTTTCATTCATAAACAGCTGGGGGTTTGGCAGGTGGATGGAATCACTTTTGGGTCTTTGTTTGGAAGACGGGCTTGGGGCTGTGACACACGACTCAAAATAATGATGTCCGGACACTTCCGGAACAAGTGCTTCGCTGGCGACTTTTGTTCGAACCACAACGCTGTACACACCTAGCGTTGTGTAGTAGACACGCCCCCGTCGACGTGTATGTAGACGGAGGTACTTACCTAATTGTACTCACCTAGTTGGGCTTGCAGGGGTTGAGCTCTGGCTGCTTGGTCCCGCCTCTCAACCGTCAATCAACAGGTGTACAGATTCCTGAGCCTACTGGGCTCTATCATATCTGCACTCGAAACTGTGTATGGAGTCAGCCTCCACCACATCACTGTCTAATGCATTCCACCTGTTAACTACTCTGACACTGAATTTTTTTTCTAATGTCTCTGTGGCTCATTTGGGTACTCAGTCTCCACCTGTGTCCCCTTGTTCGCGTACCACCCGTGTTAAATAGTCCATCCTTGTCTGCCCTATTAATTCATCTGAGAATTTTGTATATGGTGATCATGTCTCCCCGAGCTCTTTTGTCTTCCAGCGACGTGAGGTGCAGTTTACGCGGCCTTTCCTCATAACTCATGCCTCTTAGTTCTGGGACTAGCCTAGTGGCATACCTCTGAACTTTTCCAGCTTCGTCTTGTGCTTGACAAGGTACGGGCTCCATGCTGGGGCCGCATACTCCAGGATTGGTCTTACATATAAGGTAAGCAAGGTTCTGAAGGCTTCCTTACACAGGTTTCTGAAAGCAGTTCTGATATTAGCCAGCCTCGCATACGCCGTTGATGTTATTCTTTTGATGTGGGCTTCAGGAGATAGGTTTGGTGTGATATTAACTCCTAGATCTTTCTCTCTCTCCGTTTCGTGAAGGACTTCATCTCCCATTCGGTATCCAGTGTCTGGCCTCCTATTTCCTCCGCCTAGTTTCTTTACCTTATATTTACTTGAGTTGATCTTTAGTAGCCATTTGTTGGACCATTCCTTCAGTTTGTCTAGGTCATCTTGTAGCCTCATACTATCTTCCTCTGTCTTGATCCTCCTCATAATTTATGTATCATCAGCAAACACTGAGAGGAACGAGTCAATTCCTTCTGGGAGATCATTTACGTATATCAGAAACAGTATAGGTCCAAGGACTGATCCCTGTGGTACTCCACTGGTGACGCCTCGCCACTCCGATACCTTACCCCTCACAGTGACTCGCTGTGTCCTGTTGGTTAGGTACTCCCTTATCCAGTGGAGTACCTTCCCTTTCACTCCTGCCTGCATCTCCAGCTTGTTCACTAGTCTCTTATGTGGTACTGTGTCAAAGGCTTTTTGGCAGTCCAGAAATATGCAGTGCCCAGCCTTCTCTCTTGCCTAATTTTGGTTGCCTGGTCATAGAATTCAATTAAACCTGTTAGACATGATTTGCCGTCTCTGAACCCATGCTGATGTTGTGTTACAAAGTTCTTTTGCTCCAGATGTTCCACTAGCTTTTTTCGCACAATCGTCTCCATCATCTTGCATGGAATGCAAGTTAGGGACACTGACCTGTAGTTCAGTGCCTCCTGTCTATCACCCTTCTTGTATATCGGAACTACATTAGCCGTCTTCCAAATTTTTGGCAGTTCACCTGATGCCAGTGATTTGTTGTACACCATGGAGAGTGGCAGGCACAGAGCTTCTGGTCCTTCCTTTAGAATCCATTGTAAGATTCCATTTGAGCCTATAGCCTTTGTGACATCCAAATCTAGCAGATGCTTCCTCACCTCCCCACTGGTAATCACAAACTCCTCCAGTGGTGTCTGGTTTGATATTACTTCCCTTATCTCTGGGACTTCTCTTTGCTCTGATGTGAAGACCTCCAGGAATTTCTTATCGAGTTCCTGGCACACTTCCTTGTCGTTTGTAGTGAATCTTTCTGCCCCTATCCTCAGTTTCATTACCTCTTCTTTCACTGTTGTTTTCCTCCTGATGTGGCTATGCAGCAGTTTGGGTTGAATCTTTGCCTTGTTCGCTATGTCATTTTCATATTGCCTCTCTACCTCTCTTCTCACCCTGACGTATTCATTCCTGACCCTCTGGTATCTTTATCTGCTCTCTAGTGTTCTGTTGTTTCTATAGTTTCTCCACGCCCGTTTACTTAGTTGCTTTGCTAGCTTATATCTCTCATTAAACCATGGGTTTCTCGTCTGCAATTCCTTTTTTCCTTTTGGACTGGGACGAAATTGTCTGCTGGGTAGACACAGGTGTGAGTAGACTTGGGGGGTGGGTGTTGACGGGGAAGTGTAGACGGGGTGGGGGGTGTAGACGGGTGTGTGTGTGTGTGTGAAGACGGGGGTGTGTGTAGACCGGGGGGGGGGGGGTATATGTGTAGATGGAGGTGTGTGTGTGTGTGTGTGTGTGTGTGTGTGTGCGTGCAGCAGTTGTCGTACAGGAGGAGGGAGGGGGCGCGGCCAGACTAGTGGAGCGGCTGCCACAGATAACACCACACCACCTCATCTCAACATGTCCGTCTACCACAAGCCCGACGCCACCAACCTGCAGGAGCTCCGGGACATCGCCAACAAGCTGCGTGTCCACTCCGTCAAGTGTACGGGAGCCAGCAACTCCGGGTAAGTCTTCACGAAACATTATTTTGAAGTTTGATCACGGTGACTGTTCGTACCGACGCTGCCGCCGGCCGGTTCTCCCGCACTGCTGCCACCTACGCCAATCTTAAACTTTTACTTTAAACACTTTATCTCAAGACTTATTGTAGTTACACTCCAAGTGTGTTACTTAGGGTAGTGGGAGTGTGGCATGTGTGTGTCAGGTGTGGGGTAGAGGGTTGTGGAGGAGTTCCCGGTACCAGCATGGTGGACGCGGCCGTCAAAGTGACCTTTTGCTCCTACACTTAATTAATGAGGTGAGGATGTCAGGTAAGGATGTCATCAGAGCCAGGACTGACGTGCTGACATCCGGCAAGTTTGACGGCCGCGCCTAGACTCCCGCTAACACATAAATGGTGACAAATAAACTAAAGAGTTGAGGCGACTAAGATGGCAATATTGATGAGATGAAGGAGGCCTCGCTATAGTGAATACAAGTCTCATTCAACCAAGACGGTTCCCAACGGATTCCAAAACCCAGCTCAACCCATAACTCGGTCTCTGCTTAACTCACCCTTAACCCGGTCTCTGTCTAACTCAACCCTTAACCCGGTCTCTGTCTAACGCAAGGACGGACAGTAATTGGAAACTGGAAACACAGACTTCAAAAACTGAGTCACAGGAGGAACTTGTTCAGTCTCACAGTTGTAAATGAGTGGAGCGGACCTGATGTTCAAGTTGTCGAAGCGAATTCGGTAGTAAATATGATAAGAAAAGCGAGGGAAATGAGTCACTACATTGAACTACTGATGGTCGAAAGGCGGGGCTTAAGAGCAGATGCTCGACCCTCCTAGCACAACTAGGTGAGCACATTCTCTTACAGATAGCGATAGTAATTTTGTAGGTGGGTGTAGGGGGAGTGTACTTACATATTTGTGCCTGCAGGATCGACCTTTAGCTCCTGGACCCCGCTTCTCCTACACCTTCGGTATGAGAGTATTTGATCACATATCTCATAGCCTATCCATGTCTGGCTTCCACCCATGCACTCTTGTCAATTCCATTTTTTGTTTTCATATCTCAGTCATGTTTTCTGTCTCTTTATTTTCAAACGTCGCTAGGTTCAATTGCTTCAGCCTTTCTTTGAAACCCCGTCTAACGTAGTTCTGGG